TTAGCAGCCCTTCCCCCCCCCCCCTCCATCACAGTGAGAGGCCCTTATAGGAATACAGACAGTGTCAGTTGCCTAGACAGTCAGATTACGTGATTTCTTAATAAGAACCAAAAAGTTAGGTGTTTGCTATAAAATTGTAGTCCTGTCTTGTGTTTATTCTGTATTTAGTGACTGTTTAGCCCAAAAAAAGGTGCAAAAACTGTCACTGGGGCAGAATCATTTCAAAAGGTACTAATATGCAACTTTTAGGAGTAAATAAAGCACAAAAGTGACAGCTTTTGTACCTTTTTTTTTGACAGTGTAGAAGAGAATAATGGTTAATGGGTCAGGTGTTTAAACACAATCACAGGGGAGGTGAACCTTTTTCAACCACCTCTCCTAATCACAATCCCTCTTTCTTCTACACGCTATTCCATCACTGTAAAAATGCTGCAGTAAAAACCTGTTAATTGGTTAACAGTAAGTTATTTGGTAAAAAAAAAAAAAAAAAACTAATAGATCTAATTGGACATTTTGTGTAATTTTACAGTTAAATACTACAGTTAAATACAGTTTTTTTTAAGAAAAACAGGTCATCTTATAATTTACAGTGGAAAAAATTAAATTGCCATACATCTGTGACAACTCACATGTGATGGTTTTCCATTGAAATAACTGTTTCTTCTTAGTTATTTTCTTCTTATGTTGTTGTTAAATAAGGATTATTGCATTTTTTTAGTGGCATGTATGTTACAATGATGTATTATTTCTCAGCTTGTGGAAGAGCTACTTGTGATTAGCTGCTTTTTTTAAATGTGGTTGTGGTGGCATATTATGAAGGTAAAAACATATTTTAGTAACATATTAAAATGTTGCCACCACATTTTTTACAGTGTAGATACAGATAAACAAAAAATGTGCAGATCAGCCTAAAAGAAGCAGACAAATATAGACAAACAGATAGACTGTGGGCGTATGGATGGACGAATGGATAGACAGGCTGACAGACAGACAGACAGACAGACAGACAGATATAGATAGATAGATAGATAGATAGATAGATAGATAGATAGATGTTATGAATATAATGGTAAGGGCACTGATTGTACTAAGGTGCTGGGCAGCAGATGGCACAGCGGCCTGTTGCCAGGACACTGTGTATGTGGCAGCCAAATCTAACCTGGCCAACTGGTCAGTGCAGTATATGTGTCTTTTTTTTAATTTTGTTCCCCTACTAAGAGAGTTTATGTTTATTTGAATTTAACAGTTATACGGTGTGTAATATAAAATACTACACATAACACCTCTTTAAGACAGTTCTTGGTTTCTCCTAAAATTCAACTACAGTAATTCAGAAATTTATAACATAGATGTAAATACTTAGAAATAGTTTGTCATTAAGCATTTAGTTTAACCTTCATAATATTGTTTATTGCCATTTGTAAATAGTTTTCTACATACAATTCTGAGCTTGGTCAATACATTTCAATTAATTTCATTCAGTGGTAATTTGAGAAGCAGATTTTAGAATCAACATTGCAGACACAAAAAGAACAGATCTGAGTACTTTTCAGTTGATCAGTGACATCTGTGCTTCCCCACTTGAAAAGCGCAGACTGCCAAGTCAAAAGCCCATGTGGCAAAGATAGACATTTTCTCTTGTCCATATGCAGTTAAATTTTAAAGTTTTACTCTTTCAGATTGAAGATGTCCTCCACTCCGCTGGCCGAGGCAGAAGAGGATGTGTTTGGTGAGTGACCTCTCCCGTCTGCCCATTCCCCTCCCCCCTCCATTAATGTCCAGATCTTCATTTCCACACTCCCAATGCACTGAGCGCATTAGTCTGGCCTCTAAAAGCACCAGGGGTTATGACTCTCTTTGAGCATGTGCACTGGTTTGTTTTAGAGTTGTAAATATTTTATTAAACATTTTTGTGAATTTTTAGATGCCATTTATCATGGTTGAGGAATAATGGTGTAATGGGCACATTCAAGTGTTTGGCTTCACAGGATTTTTGTACAGGGTTTGAAGTTGCAGCTTGCTGAGTCAGTGTCTAACCACAGGAGTTAGTGCTGAGATCTGAAAACAAGTTGGGAGAAGAAAGGTTTTGGCTATGGAATAGAGTAGTGTGACAGAGCCTAAAAATAGAGAATGTTTATGAGCATGTTCCCACTACCCCAGACCCAATAAGCAGCCTACAACATAAGAGTGCATTAGTGCCCACAAGCTTTTTCTGTGTCGTTGATTCCGTAAGTATCTTTTTTTTTTCGTTTATTTTTCACATTGGGTTTTTAAAAAAGTCTTTGTTCAAGTGTTATAAGCCATGAACCAGGCCAACCAGCTATGAGGTGTATCACAACATTGCATACTTCATTTGAAGCAAATAAGTATTTGAAAATGTTACAAGGTACAATATTATGTGTACTTAAAGGGATAGTTCACAAAAAAAAAAAAAGATAATTCTGTCATCATTTACTCACCCTCACTTTGTTGCAAACCTGTATGAGTTTCTTTCTTCTGCTGAACACAAAAGAAGATATTTTGAAGAATGACCAAACAGTTGATGGTAGCCATTGACTTCCATAGTATGGAACAAAAAATTATATGGAAGTCAGTGACTACCGTCAACTGTTTGGTTACTAACATTTTTCAAATATCTTCTTTTGTGTTCAGAAGAAAAATGAAAAAAGAATTAATCATGCAGGTTTGGAACAACATGAGGGTGAGTAAATGATGACAGAATGACAGTAAATGATAACAGAATTTAAATTTTGGGGTAAACTATTCCTTTAACGGCTTTAGTGAGGGAAATAACTACAATCCAAGCATTGCGAATGACATAATCAAATCAAAAATGATGAAGAAATATAAAACTATTAATTTATAGTCGTTGATTACATTAAAGTTTATTGCACTGTTTATTGTTATTATTTTATTTTTATTTTTTTAAGTGTTTTGACAACATAGCGAGACCGACTCGATTACATCATTTGCAGTGCTGCATGGGAGTGGGCGTTCCCTACAAACTCTTTTGCTGTGATTTTCTTGCCACAACTGTACAGAATTTTTTGTACATGACTGTGTAATTTTTCTGTATAGCATCATGGGTAATGTAGTTTTTCACCACCGATTCAGCTGTTAAACGTGATTACTTTAAAAATAGGTTAAAATAGTGTGTGCTGATGGCCATTGTAAAGACTTTAAGTCTATCCCTCACAGCCTCATTTTCATCTGCATTA